ATCATTTAAGCGCTCGTAAATCGCTAACGACGATTTTATGTCCTATACCTTTAATTGCATTCGAGTAAAGCGAGATCCGCTTGGAAATATAACCGTTTCTCCATGTAATTAGAGATAAGACGCTAATTTATTTTACAAAGTTTGTATTCAAATTATCATTATTCTTGAAGCGTTAATATTTTATTGTACATAGTATCAATATCATAATTACTGTTTATGTAAGTAACGATCGTGGAATCTTTTTTAAACTGTCCACGTCAAATCTCACGCTTGTGCGAGCTTGCGTGCAGCTGCAGCAAAAAATTCGACTTCAATAGCCATGATTTTCCGCACTATAGTACGACAATTCCAAAGGTAATAACGATCGAAACGACGACATGCTTGCGGTCGCAAGCTCAACCATCTCTTGAGACCAACGAAGAAACTTCGACTTCCAGGATAAAAATCCCGAGGCGGGGGAGGGGTCTGAAGTCTGAAGATCGACCCTCCTCTTACGGATATTCTTAACGATCACGTCTCTCCTCCTCCAGAAGGTTATCGAGGTTACGACTGTTAGGACCTAGGAGGGCCTCGAGAAATAACGCTCCATCGCGGCGAGACAAGTCGTTTCCGCGCCTTTTGTCTCCTGGTGGATTACTGCGCGTTCGCAAAAAAAGAAATTCATCGCATTGCTTTATGAGCGGCAGGGAACGAGTCGAATAGCTTTCACTAATACATCATGTAATATTATCGAAATATTTTATGTCGATTGTTAAAGTACAGTGAGTAGTACTACGCAAGTACTACGCAAATTTCGTTTACAACGATTATAAAATATAAAGTGAAATTAATTTCTAACTATGCTTTTATTAAACTATAGTCATGAAATTTAATTACAACGCGCGGCGCTCTATTTCCTCAAATTTATTTCTTTTTTATTTTTATTATTCCTATTATTTACATTATTAATTTCTATAAATACATGTAAATGTCATCAATATATACTGAACTCATTAACGTAAGAGCATGAGATCTCAACACTTACTCGAAAATCTGGATCTAACAATAAGGCAGAAGATATCTCTTTCTATCTTTTCTTACTTACTGATCGCGGAACGGATTGCCGGTGCTGGCGCGAATTTGTGTGAAGGATAACGAGAGCTCGTTCGACAACGATCACGTTCGACCTTCGGGCAATAGAAAACGACAGTTCACTCAGCTGGCGCGTGCCGATGCGAAGAGAGAACGAATCTCCGTTTTGTAACGGTCCGAACGACAATATACGCTTGTTGCATTTTGGCATCCGGCCCGGTGCGAAGGAACCAGTCAGCCATCGGCCACTTATTCCGCGGGATATATCCCGGCGTCTCGGCGATCGGAGGAAGCGACGGTCTACGAGAGCCACGTAGGAGACGCGTGCTGAATTTCAATGAAACCGCCCGAAAACCGCTGGAAAAGGCACAGCACAGCACCTACAAATGCTAGACGACGTGCGCAACTTCCCCTCGCCTCGGCTCGACTCGACTCAGCCGCGGATGAAATACCGGATGGCGCGATACTGCGTGACGTACGAGTAGAGTTTAGAGCCTTTCGTTGGGAATTCCCCACGGGTAACTTGACGTGAGTCCTCTTGAAAGGGAGTCACGATCGGCGTCGGGTTTAGAAAATTTTATAAAACGCAAACGTGATGTGGAAAAGGGCGCGACGTATATCGAAGTTGGATTATACCTGCACCCCGGGCGGTTACTTTATCCTGTAATGACATCTCACGAGGTGCGAGACGTCTCGCAAATCGCGATTTCCACGAGCGACTTTTAACGTTGGTTTCAATCTCAAATTGTAATATTCCGTATAACACAAAATTTGCCGAAAAGTTCGGGCAAAATTTACGTGTCCCTTTTATTACGTGCCCGGGACTACGCGATTTGTATCTACGTACATATAGCGCGCATACGACACACGGCGGGTCATAAACGCATCTTTACTACTGCAAGTTATACGATTTTCCTCCAAGCGAGCGTCAAGTTATACGATTTTCCTCCAAGCGAACATCAGAATGTTAATTCACCAAAGTTAAATATTTTTAATTAAATAGAAATCTAAAAGAATTGAAAAATTAATGAATAAAATTGCAGATTATTTTTACGAAAATCTATACGTTCTTTTCAGAGAAAAAAATATAATCAGTGACACTTTGGCCTTTGAGATTTCTGGAAAGCTTCTCTATTATTCCATTTGAATCCACTATATTCCCGCGAGTCGACGAAATGCAATTACCGAGTAATTCGAAAGACTACAGAGGCAAGACGGTGCGTTTTACAGATTGGCAGCCAGCCAGTTTCTCCTCGGCAAATCATATTATCTTAACGAGGCTAGATAACGCCCTTTTGTCGGTGAACGATAACGCCGCGAATGTATCGCGCCCGCTCGACCAAAAGCCGCCGTATCGTTAAACGCAAACGAAAATGAAAAAAAATTTTTCATTCGCATAATTGACTACTAGGGCGAATTTCTTGATATCGTCGGTTTCATCAAAATTGTGCAATTTTAAAATACGGAGGAAGGAAATTATTAGAGTATACCAAGGGGATTTATCCAGAATAAAAAAATTATTGATTTATTTATTCAGACATTTAATTTTTATAAATTCTGATATAAAGATCTCTAATATATAATATTTATAATATATTTATATTGATTTCACATGAAGATGATAAAATATATTTTATATTTCATTAGATAATAATATATAATTTAAAATTTATTTCTTTTATTCTGATAACTTATTCTAATGTATTTGTATATATTATATGTATATATTTATTTCACGAAATAGTGAGACAAAATTCTCTCTCTTTATATATATATGTATACATATATGATCATAATTATTATAAAATAGACTGTTTTAGTGGATTTATACGACGTCTGTATCGCAAATAAAATTATTATGACATTATGGTCACATAGCGAGCCGTTAAGTAGAGCAAATACAGAAAAGTTTACTTCTCCTATTTTGTAACAAGAATAATCGTTTCACCGTGGAAAGCCTGTCGAAGTATCGCTATTAAAGCGAGTTTATTCGCCGTTCTCGTTGGCCGAACGTTTCTCCATTATGAATAGCGAGATAATACAGATGTATAAGAGGTGTCTTATACAAGCTGGCACTCAGCCAAGCGCTCGCCGAGCGGGCAGTTTCATACTAATGAACACGACAGATGTTACGAAACTCAGTTTTCCATATTGCGTGTCGACGTGGAATCGCATTATTCCTTTTAACGCGATCATCCCATCTTTCACATTGCAAAGTAGACGGAGATAAAAGTGACCGATTGAAAAGTACAGTTAACAAATTTTACATACATATTTTTCGCGATGGCGAATACTCTATTGTGAAAACGACTATTGATCACATTTTTTTTGTGTTAAAAAAAGAACTCGCCTTTGAATTGCTCAAATAAGCTGAAGTTCTTTTTTCAGCAGTTGACGGTCCTCGAATCGTTTTCCGTTTTGCCGCAATGAACTTCCGCAACGTGGTGTACGCGGAACCGTAACAAAGAATACGAGGAATGTGGACTTTCGGCTTTGTAACGGCGAGACTTACAAAGCCGTAAAAGAGGATTGCGGGGCGTTCCGTGCGTTTTGCGCTATGAGGAAATCTCTTCCCCTCTTTGCCCCGGCAAAAGTCTCGGCATTACCATGTTTACGTTCACTCGCTAACAACTTATGAAACGATTCCTTGCGCGAGAAAGAAATCGAACCGAAACTATTTCCCCCAAGGGAAATGTTGCGCGCGGGAAGATAGCGAAAACTTCGTTGAATATATTCTCGCGTTACTTGCCAGCAATGTTAAATGCGTGAATTATCTCGGATAATCAAGCCAACTTTACTCTCACGCATAATGACGGCGGAGGTGACGAAACTTCTTCAATAAAATTACAAGCTTCCGAAATTAACTCCCTTCGTGCTCTCTCTCTCTCTCTCTCTCTCTCTCTCTCTTTTTCTGTCTCTTGAATTTATTGCGGTAATAAAGAGCAACTTATTTCTCTAAAAAAATGCAACGCGAAAAAAGTTTACTCACGTTCAGTTTCATTTATCTATAAATTCGTTTCTCTTTCGGAATTCGAAATCGCAACGGAACGAACAGCGAAAATGCGTTTGACGCAAGTGCGAACGGTGGAAGGGCCCGGCGTTTCAAGTCGGAGCTTTATTTGGAAATTACGGAGCGCAGTTGGGTATGACGTCGGCCCCGGTCTCATCTCGCGAAGGATTAAGCCGGCCGAGAGAATTAAACATGATAAAGCTGTCCATTATGTCAGATGAGAAATTTCGCGAGAAAGTCCCTCGATATAAATGGACGACTGGCCGACAGTCTATACATATATATATATATATATATATATATATATATATATATGTATATCCGACACGTGCTACACGTGCGATAATGCAAAAGAGCCGCGCAGAGTCGCGAGTCGAGTTGAATTGTTATACAGATAAACGACCGCATCCACGCGGCGCGACGACCGGTCGATGGGGCAAATCGATCGCTTCAAAAAGCCCCACTTCAACGGCTGCTTTAAGAACAATCCCGTGTTTTACGAGTAAGAAGCTTTAGCCTGCTTTTCCGCGCCGCCGCGCTTTATGTCGTCCGACACGGACGGACGCGAGCGATGTTGGTATTTCTCGTCAAATCATCCACTTGCCGGATGCACCGGGGAGGGAGGAGGGTGCACGTTTGCTGCTCCCTCCCCCCCTCTTGCCTCGCCATAGAGGGATCTATCTCTTTCTCATCCCTCTCGCGGCGGACCTCATCCATTATTCCCACGCGTCTTTATCCGGCGCGGTCGAAAGGAGTGCGCGAGCGCGCGTTTTCACCGATTTGACTTTGTAATGTTATTCATTCGGGCGTCGAACAATTCGAGGCTGTTTAATTCAAAAAATTGTGTAAGATACTGTATTTGTTTTGTTTGTCATGTGCCGAAGCACGTTATTTCAACTCGAACATTTGTATGTTTCAGCCAGCACCAATCTCGTGGGCAAGTTCACGCAGAGCGTACGGAGGATCGTCCAGGACGTGAAGGACGAGGGCACTTCCAGTAAGTCCGAGCGATATTTTATCACATTCATCTCGCGTGGGAGTTTAATTAAACTTCAGCCGCTTTCTTGGCGAATCGCCGCGACTCGATAACCTTGCACGCTGAAAAAGACTGCGAAATGATGAAGTGTTCGTGCGCTTCCTCTTATTTTAAGAATGCTTTTACACGGCTCGCTAATAAAACCATTGTGAATTTATGATCTTCCTCGATAAGCTCCATCAAGAAAAATGCAATATAATAAGGATAATTCCTAAAACAAAATTTTAAGCTGAAAAAAAAACCGTGAAAATGAACAATCCAGTTGAGAAGATTTCACAATATAATTTGTTCTGTATCTCTATTAATAGCTTTTTAACCAAGGAATATATGCATATCTCATTTGTATTAAATCAAATTTTGGATACAAATTTAGATTAGTCTTAGTTGCAGACGTCTTATAAGGTAAAGAAGGAATAAATTAGCGGAACAATATATAAAAGCAACAAACTCATTGTCAGACGGAAATGATATTGTACATAATATATATATATATATATATGTACATATATACTTTTTACAAACAAATTACGACAAATAAATATATAAATTAGAATTGATTCTGCTCATTTTTTGTTTCGCTAACTTATATAAAACGTTCGTACAATTAGTTGCGAGTCTTAGAGAAGCGAGTCTCAGTCTGTTTTGTAAAATTAGATTGTCAATATTTTTATTTCTTTCTTTGTGCTAAAGCGAATTAAAGCTGTAGGACGAGCATTCGTTCCGAGTACAGCAATTCCGATGAATCAGCAATAGAGACGCTCGTACATATCGCTCAGAAATAAGTGTCTGGCAGTCTGCCAACAGCGAAGGTTGTTAGTTGTCCCATGAATGGAATCGAAGCGGAAACTCTTGTATTCGATTGGACCAGAGAGTAACGGTGTGTCGGCTGTCGCTGTATTAGCTGAATGGACGGAAACTTCGTCGTCGGCTGAGAATTCCGTCAGGCTTAGATTAACGCTTTCCCATCTACGAATGTGGAACTACTATGATTAATTCCGACATCAATGTTCCCGTACCGCCGTCGGTGAAATGCGATCAGATAAATTCCTAATGTACGATAATAACATATGTATAGTACAGGGATATCCACGACCTCAATTTCGTTGACAAATTTCCTAAAGAAAATCGATTTAATCTTAATGAAAGTCAATGATAATAATTTTTCTCAACTCTACAACAATTTTCGAAATTACTTGTCTTTCTAATTAACGTCTTTTCGATTCATAAAGAGATCAATTAAAAATTTAATCCATCAATTAATATGAACCGGATAAGAGAGCGATCAATAAAATTTTTAAGAGTTTCTTGACATACTTTATGTTGCTTAAAGTGTTTCGTGATTTTGTTTATCTTTCGGATTCGAACTTTTCCTACAAATTCGATAAAACTACGGCGGAAACACGTCGACTGAGTTGCTTATCGCGTCGCGCTTACCGTGCTCGATTTATTTATGTCGAAACTTTCGACGTTATCGCGGTGTCGAGTTAATTGGAAATTAATTGAAGGCGACATTCGCATGCGCGCTGTCTTCGTCGTTTTCATCGCGCTTAATTTAACGGTCCCGTTAAACGCGACGCGCGATGATTGAAGCGCGTGATAAGTTAAAATCGATCGAATGTAGTTACGGGGGTAAAACGCGTCGATGCGACGACCGACGTACCCGTTATCGGGAAAAGGAGGGAGGGAGAGCGGGGAGGAGGAGGGGGAATTGTGCCCTATGCTTTCGATATTTCTCGAATTGCAATACGGCTTCTCTGCGACGGACGCAGGTGGACAAACGAAGGAGGAAGTGATCGAGACGAACGAGAGGCTGAGAGTCGTGAGGATACGTCTGGACGGCAGCTATGACACCGCCAAGAGGGCCCTCGTCGAACTGATGTGCAAGTACACCGATAGCAAGCAAGTGCGCAACGTGTTCCAACGTTACAACCTCCTCAAAAATATGATCAAGGTAAGACATGCGGAACCGGGCGTCGTAATTGGATGTGTAGCACACGTGTTTTTGTTTCCCACGAGGGAGAGCTTTGTGCTCGGTGAGCGTCAGTCCCAGACTGTCGCTTGACGTAATTACGTTGTAATTATGCCGCCCGGTTTGTACAGGTAAACGGCGAACGCGGAGAACAGCAGCTCGCTTTTCCCGCTGAAACGCGGGGGTCGAGTCACTTGCGCCCGGCTCTCTGTTAAGGAATCGCTAAGGAACTAATTATTAACTTGTGACCGTAATGTAAATTGTAATTAACTTGTCGAGGAATTTATAATTGACTTAGTCCAAGTCATATAAAGTTTAACAAACAATTCCCACATAATTTCATGGTAATTATAATATTCGTATTGTCAAGTTATTTTTCTCAAATAATTTGACACTTCTCACTATCATTGCATTTTATTTTTCTAAACATCTCAATTTATTCTTTGATTAAAATAAATTTATTTACAAAATCGTATATAATACTATGCTTGTCAATTTTTCAACTAGGATAAAAAATGGAAAAAAATAATAACAAATTACATATAATGTATGACATTATTAAAAATATGGATTGCGATATTTTTATTTTGTTCTGAAATTTCTCAACGGCACACATGTAAATTTGCGAATTGATTTGATCAATGAAACTGATCGAGAAACGATAATTAAAAAAAAAAAGATGCAGAGTGAAAAAAACAGCGTGGCAGATGTACGATATTTCGTCAGTAAACAGGCAACGGAGCGGCAAAATATTCGGACTCGTTCCGCGTGCTCGGCGCGAAATTCCCAGTTGCATAAAACCAACGGATGAACAACGGCAAAAGGAAAGAATTTGAAACGCAGCCGTTTTATTTTTCGGAGTACCAACGCGAAATACACACACGCTGCAGTGGGCGCGACGTTTGTTGTCCGAGAGATAGATCGCGCGCCCGCGGGACAAGCAACAAATAAAGATGCACGCGAAAGATAAGCCAGCACGATTGCCGGACTCGCAGTCGGCGCGGAAGACGAGCGCGCGTTATCGCCATCTTTCAGTTCTGTTTTTTTCCCTCCTCTTTTTCGTTCTTTTGCTCCCCCGGGGTGCATGCACAGCGACTCGCGATCGTTGGTCCCGCAGGTGCATTTGCCGCGGGCGACGACGTTTGTTTCTGGTGTAAACTTTCGTTCCGAAGCGCAGCCGCTATCGAGGAAATCGAGAGAGCGCGGAGTTTTTCCCTGTCGAAGAAAAACCAACTTGAGATTAATCCTCGAGCGATAGGAACGCAAAATAAAATCCCTCCCCTGCTCCCCCCCCCCCTTGTAAATCGCGCCGTTTACTCCATCGATGACCGTGTAATCCCGAGATATATTGTTTGAAATGCTCAGCAAGTGCGAGAGAAAAGGAAAACACTACAATAGAAGCACCATAACGTGGATATAATCGTTATTTTTTACAGTATAATATGTAAACTTGCTATTACTTATTTAGATAATTATTTACGAAATTAATTACCTTTGCTATTACGAAATTGAACAGTAAATTGATTAAAACTGATTTTCGTATGAAACAATTTTAAACGGTATATTAAAAAATTGAGATGATTAATTAAAATAAAATCGTTAAAAGAAACCACGCGGATGATAGAATGAATCAAATTGGTGATATTTGATAATTGATATGGATAATTGATTGACGATTCATTTAATCAAAATTACAAGAGTATAGAAATATATGAGGCAAATATATGAATTATATGGAGCTATTTTTAAGAAGCAGACAGGGAAATTATAGTAAAATTTAATTTTTTTCAGACAAAAAACTGTCTTCACAGTTTTTGGGTCATCAATTAGATACAAATACAGATTAATGATACCACATTTTCTAAAGACGCGGATAAAATCGATCTTCTTAAACCACGTCTGATGAATGGGCCAATGACTCGCTCAGCATTCAAAGACACGCGGATAAAAGGATTCGTTCTATAATGGCCGATCGCCTTGCACAAGCGTGCTGCTTTTTCCCCCTGCCATTTCCTTTTTTTTCGTCATTGCGATGGTAGCCCGAGCTACCGACGGTTTTGCCCTTCCAGGACGTAATTAAGCTGGAGACGCAATATTGGACGCTGGTAGATATACCGAGGCAGGAGAAACAGGAGACCGTGCCCGCCTTCGTGCTGCGTGCCTGTTCCATCATGGAGAAGACCCACAAAAGCGGCGAAGGCGTGAAAACTTCGGCGCGTCTCGCCGAGGAGGCCGAGACCAAGAGAGAGCGCATCGAGAGACTCGAGAGTGAGTACTCGGAGTGCGGTAATCGATCGTTGTCGAGAGTAGTAATAGTGGTAGGTTTTGCCGGAGGAAGAAAACAATTTTCCATTGTCCTCCATTTGATTGTTCTCCGTCCACGTCGTTCGTTTTCCTAGCTGCGACTTTGATTATTGTCTGACTTTAACGCTCTCAATCGATGTGACTCAATGAATAGGAAGTCAATTAATTTATTTGCGAGACAGCCTGGGATCGTTTCTTTTCACTCATTAATTTTCGTCTATCGGGACTTCAAACTTAATTTTTAGTCCAATTTTAATTTAATTGTATTTTATTTCTATAATGAATTTTATTTATTGATCTTTCCTCATTATATTTTTATATAATCATAAAAATACAGGTAATTATATATTATACTCTTGCGCTTTGCGCTCGCGAAACAATTGTAACATTTTTCACGCTATGCAAATTGTGCGGAAGAGACACGATTCAATGGCTGTCCCTTGGAAAGCTTTCAAGCCTGAATAATATATCATTTTCCGTCATAGTACTCTAGAGAGATCGGAGATATCAAAGTTCCATTGTACCATTAAGATGAAACATAACTGCAATATTTTATATTATCAGTTTTATTATGTTAATTTTAGTTAATTATTTCATATTATAAATCTACAATATTCTATTAATTTAAAAAAATGACGTCAATTATCAGTGCTTCGTATAAACATTTTAATGATGAGATATTGGAAAATTGATGAGATTCGTTTTTTTTTGTGAAGTCAGAAAACTCGAGTCCTTGGAGTGCAGTTTTAAAACTCGTAGAATTAAAAACTCGAGATATCAAAAACTACACACTTTTTAATTAATCTCTTTTTTCTTGTCTCGTTTACACCGGTTTTTGCACTCTCATAAATATTCAACAGATGCCTCGCACAACAATTCATAATTTTTCCTGCAGAGCGCGAAAGATTTATGATATTTTTCATTTTCGCGATATATGCGGCGAAAGTTATTTGAAAATTGTTCTTTATTTTGCGCCCCGTGATGCACCCTAAATGCGAATACCAATGTTGTTGCGATACAGTACGCTCAAGCGTGATTATTACAAATTCGTAAATTACTCCGGTAAAAAGGAAAACTTATAAACGACGTAAATTGTCAATAGCACAAGCGTATGGCGCGACATGCCGCAATTAAAAATATTCTCACTTCATGTACAATATTCCGTCCTTTTTCACTTGTTTAATCAAAGGATTATTTTCTCTCTTTGCTTCGCAGTGGAATGTATGCTCTAGTTGAAACTATTCGATATAAATGACTCGAACAAAATGGTTAATTAAAACCATTAATCAACTTGGTTAATTGATTGGATTTATTTTCGATATATAGTTTATATATACATATATCCTATTTTATTTTACTTTGTTATTTATTTTATACCTTTCCATGCTAATGGTTTTATTTTATTTTGTTTTCTATTTTGATAGAGGAAAATCGAAGCAAGCCATATTTTTAAATACACAATATGCAGTAAAAGAACCAACTGCTATCAAAATATTTTAGATAGTCGCGCTGACAGTAAGAATATATAGTCGGATAGACAATAAAACTTTTGGGACATTACAAAAAAAAGTTTTAAAAAAATCTAGAGAAAGGTTTGAAAATGTTTGTCTGATATCAAATTGCTGTGCGCTAGTACTTCAGTTTGATTCTGTGCGTCATGTAAACGTACATATTAACGGCCAACGTTTCCGCTTGGTTTTCATTTTGCCAGCAAGAGCAATATTTCCCTGAGCGTTAATTAATGCCTCTCGCTGGAATGCCCGGTGAACTACGTTGATGCAACCGCACGTAAAATCCGACATTGGTTCGGTTTTGCGCTCGCTTGTTAATACTAAAAAGTTTCTTTAAAAATTAAAAAATTCGTTACGTAGCGTCGATGTACGTAGCACATCGTGTGATCGATACACGATAACTACTTTGATGAAAAAGATTAATTATATGCGGAATAAAAAAACGTGTTTCAAAATTTATTAAGAATGAAGCATATATAATTTTTTAAATAAATCGATCGACTTCGTTGGTACTCTATTGATGCTTATTTTGAAAGCTATGGAACAATCATGTTTTCCATGATCTGTATTTTTTGAAAATCGTATTTGATAAATAAAATCAAACGAAATAAATTAATGAGTATGTGTTTTGCACAGATATGACGACGGCGCAAATCGAAGCTGAGAACACCCAGATGACCAATGATTTGTACAGATTGCTGAAGAAATACACGGGTCTCAGGAATCTCATCAAAGTGTTAAAAGTATGTATTTTGTAATGCTTAACTTATGGATTTCGCAAAAGAATGTATCTAAGGAAAATTACATTTTGGATTAATATTAATTTATAATATCTGAAAATGTATTTTAATTTTAATTCGAAATTTGAACATTTTCTTTATTTTTTATATGTAAAACAGTTTCGGCATCAAAGTAAAAATTTTTCTAAAACATCAACATTAAATTAATTTAATTAAGAAATTTAATCTTAATCTCTCATTTATATAGCAATTTTATTATTTTTTCTCAAATCAAAATTTATTGAAAAGAAAATTCATGTTTTTTAAATAACAACGTTTTTTCTGATCACAAAAGATCTTTGACATGAGTTATATCGATTATAATTCCGCGATTGTGGTCGTAAAAAGATGATACTGTTCAACAGCGGCGAAATGTAATACCGGCTGTCATATTAGAACATTGTTACGATCGTCCTTTTTCTCTTTATGTTCCAATAAGTTGCGTACCGCTACTGTTATAACACTTTCGGTCGATGATACGACGGTTATCATCCACTCGTTTTACGGTTCTTTATGGAGTGTCAAATAAATCGGGGATTAAAGGCGACCGAAAGGTATCGTACAACCATCTTACGTCGTTTTCTTCGGTTCTTTCGCGTACGCTCGGAAACGCATAATATTTCTTCGAAGCCAGAGAAATCGTTTAGACACATTTTGCACGACTTCTCGAAAAATTATCGTTGCTTAGAACTGTATCGATTTTTAAATAATGCAATTTCAATTTTCAATTTTTATCTATATTTTATTATAGTTTAAAAACTTTCTCTCGGAAAAGATTCTTATTAAGTTCTGGCGATAAACGTAGTTGTTCATCATCAATTATGAATTGATTGAAAGATACTTGAGGAAGGGGGGGGGGGAGGGTGGAAAATTGGATAGTGGGAAACTTTATCCGGGACATGCATGTAACTTGTCGTTTTAATTAACGACCGAAATAAGGGCCACTTTCTATCGCAGGAGGAGTACAACGGCGCGAAGTTGTATCCAATGTTCCCGCGTTACACGATATTGAAGGACATGATAAAGGATATAATGCACAACCCGGACTATATGGAAGTCTGTCACGAGGTGGACCAAGCATAGCGGCCCGACCCCCTCCACCGTTCGCCACGTATGACCCTGTAAACTTCTTCGGGGTCGCCGCGTGGTCGTCGGTGAAGGGGGTGAATCACAGAACGCTTCAGCTTCGACTGATCATTTCCTTTTTGGACAGAGCAATTCCTGTGATCTTATGTTTTTTCCTAATATCTCCGCGAAAATTCCTTTTCTTTTCCTACCCATATCTTGAACAAGTCGTTCGCGATCGTCATCCTTGTTCGTACGAATCTTGGGGGCAAAATCTAAAACGAGTTGCGCCACGCTTATATCAATTGTATATGCAATTTCTCGCAGGTAAGTTAGACCCGGCTCCTCTTTGTCGCGTGTCTTGTAAAGTTTCGGCAAGAGGTGGGTGAGATATTAAGGAGTTGAATATCGCGCTGAAGTACGTCATCGAACGTCGTGGAGTAGCAACGAGCAACCTCGCCGTGCTATAAGAGCGCCGCAATATCACGAAGACGGGAACAGTCGTGGAGTCAAGGTAGGTCATGAGGTCGTTCTCGTACAACCATGAGGAATGCTGCTACTTGCTGCTTAATCATCGCAAGAAAGAAACAAATAAGTTTTTTTCATTGCTTATAAATAAAGGTATAGAAATATTTTTTTGCGGAGAATATAAGAGAGATCAGTTTTATACGTATGTATAATTAGATGATTTTAATGGCTATAAATTGAGATAAATGTTGAAGATTAAGAAGATTATATCGCGCTGAATTTTCGAAAACTCCATGGCGATCGAAAAGTTCTCGGAAATGTAATAGTGATGATTCTAGAACTTTATATTAAATTCAATATTTTTAAAAGATCCCATTTGTCACTTTGTGGCAAGAGGAGAGATTCCGAAAGAATCCTTCCAGTAAGTAAATAAGTCCAAGTAGCAGGATTCGCGAGATTCCAGCGTAGAAGCCAAGAGATCGTTTTACAATTTCTGATTTTGGGTCGGAATAGTCGCTCGCACGTCACAAAGAAAAAAAGAGGCTAGATGCGCTATTATTAATAGTGAATGTCGTATGCATGTGGTATACCGTAATCAATTAGGCCAATTTGCAAGATCTACGGAGTGTCGAGTAAATTCGTGTAAGATCGTGGGCGTGTGTTTGTACATAGGTGTAGCTCGTGTGTGAGTGAAAATTAGCGTGAAATTGTGAGAGTGGTGTCAATGTGGAGCACATTATTACCTGCTTCCTGCTGTGTAGGACTCTCGTAATAAAGGACGTCATCGGTCTCGCGCGACCGAATATTCGCTTTACCTACGAAGAGGACAAAGATTAAACTACTCGAGACAATTCGAGCAACGCTCTGCGAAAAAAAAGGAGATGTATTTATAACTAAAAATATTAATTAATGATTTAACATTTAAAAATAAGATTTACAATACGGTTAACTTTGAATATGAAGATTTTATTGAAATATTTGGAATATATTGTGTGCATACATGAATTATATATTTAGTGTATAAAATATGGAATATTTGAAATTCTCGCTTTTTATCTGCGAAAAGAGACAGAGATTAGGTGGTTCATAACGTTCGAAAAATGCTGAAAAATAATAAATTATGAATAAGAAATATTGATTAATGATTTAATACTTCTAACAAGAAAAATTTACAAGGCCGACTTTAAATGTGAAAATTTTTGTGGATTATTCGAATCACATATTTAGTATATAATATTGAAATATTTCAAATGTAAATCCATGTATATTTAAACAGCATTTTGTAAGACGTGAATACATGTCTTGAAATTGAAGTTTTGAACATAATAAGTCCAAAATGTAAATCCCAGATTTAAAATGGAACTAGCGTACACATACACATATGTACATACGATCGAATTTATTTCAGCACTAAATATTTGGAGATGAACACATAGATTCATACATAAAATGTCACGTATAAATTTGTTTCTAGAGTTCTCACATTTCCGCTTAATTGAAGTGATCTGAATGATATTTTTTCAAGCCGATTTCAATTAAAAATCAATCCCTTTACGATATATAATATAATTTACATTTTTAACAATCACTTTTATGTATACAAAAAATATGCACACAGTGTTGAATATTAATCGGCTATTCTATCGTATGTACAAACCATAAATATTAATGATCTCCTGTTTAAAATACACGCAACGCCTTCATTACGAATCGCGAGATAAGCTAAGATAACATTTGTGGCGTATGGATCAACTAATGTTTCTTTCGTGCGGGAACAGGACGGCAAAAATGTCACGTGTATACATTTTTATTTTTAAATGCAGCGCATGAGACTTTCCAGGGCATGGATATATTCATACATGAGTTAGGGTAGTACATTCGCATTTAGCATTATAAATGCAGTTATCGAGTATTTGTATCGAGCGCGATTTTTAAGCGCTAGATAGAATCTTGAACAGAAAAAAAAATTAGTTAATAATTAAACAGCGTTTACATAAAACTTATCATTGAACAGCTAGCTAAGTATACCATATGAGTATGAGATTCCATAATAGTCGTGAATAACATTGTCCGTATATCAAATAACGTATAAGAGTCTCGAATGATAAGAGCATTGATTAAATATTAATTTGGCATATTGAACATATCATCAACGTCATGTTTATCATACACACTCCGGTGAAAAAGTCCTCGAGAAATTATGCGAGAAATGCCTAATCGGGACAAAGGAAAAAAATATTAACGTTACTCGAAAAACCTTCTACCTTGTGTTCGCGAGAAATTTTAAAATTATATAAGCCTAAAGATTTTTTGAGAAAAGCAATTACGGCTTACCGGTCAAGAAATCGCAATGAAAATATTGTAAAATCAAAGCAGAACACGATTGTCCGAGCGAAATTAATTATTAAGTAATTTCGAGATGATTAATGTCACCCGATGGATAATTGCGGAAGGATGAAAGTCTGTTGACAGTCGGTATTGTATTGAAGGTCGAAATTTTTCGCAAATCTTTCTCGACGGACTTTCGCTCAGACTACTTGCATCTGTGTGCATATGAATATGCATATCGTGCTGTTCGATATTGATATAAACGCAGGGGATATCATCGGATCAGTCCGACATATAAAATGTGCCATGTTCTCCAAGTGCTATACCTCATGTAAGTATTTACATAAAAAAAAGATGACGGAGATGACCCGCTATAAAACGCACGTGTTACACGGTCGCGCGTAATGCAAAACGCAAACCTACACGTAACGCAATTGCACCGACGTGAATTAGCAATTTAATTCGAGATGCATTCGTTACAATAAGAAGGTCCTCCTAGGATTTTTGTTGTTCTCATATCGTTAAGGTCTGATAAGCGTATAATGATGTATACTACGTACTAAAGTATATATATAAAGGAAAAAATGGCTGACAGCCCGAAATCAAAATACAAAATATAATGCGCGGCAGACATTGGGACGACGAATTGAGGCGCCGCCGCTTCTAGTGCTGCGGGCCCTTTCCAATGTTTGCCGATGGTTAGTGCTCCCCCTTTCCTCCCTCGACACTGTACCATCCCTTTTAAACCGTTCTAGCACTGTGTATTCAAAACAAGCGTAATAATTCATCAAAATGTCTAATCAAACCTAACTAGCATCCTCGAACATCCTCACTCACGAAGCTGGATACAGGCGAGATGTGTCCTAATATATATATATTCCAAAATCAAAACAATGCTTTTTATCTACTAATTTTTAGCTAATCAAATCTGTCTGCTAAATTTGCTAATTAAACGTGCAAATCAAAATTTTTACTTAAAAGAAAATATTTTTAAGGAGCATCTCTTCCTCTTTTAAAAAAAAGTATCGATCATATCGGAAGCCAATACTTCAATGTTTTAGCTTCGTTTTGATAGGTCTCATGATGGATGGATAATAAATTTTCTGTCATACTGCTGATGCAACAACAACGATCAAATTATTGAGCGACAGTAATCAATGACATTATACGGTATATTACGCAGTATATTGTTGCCCAAACATTACAGTCTGAACTTTAATATTTGTTAGCATTTAGCAACGATGTTGCTGGAAAAAGATCAAAGAATTCATCAAAATTCACGTAATTGATTTGACAAAAAATAACTATCACCAACGGTAGCATGTCTCATCCAGCACGTTCATAAAATTTTTTCTCCGCGCTGTCTATTTAGACTAGAGCTTTTGACGTGCATATTTAACTCCCACTATATATTGTGTATATAACAAGAACACTAAGACACATTGATACAAAAGACATTCGATAATTTTTTATGCCATTATATAATAATTTAACAGATTCTTAAAACTAAAATACAATACGAATTTCAAGATCTTATTATTTTCAGATGTCCCGGAACAGCAAATTTATATTCTAAAAAATTTTTTTTTCTGGAAATCTATACGATAAAAAAAGATTTGCAGGGTATTTGCAGTAAAAAGTTTTAAAAAGTATGTTTTTTTTAACAAAAACGGAAATTCTGAATGTCTTGCAGAAATATTTTTGATTGACCGATTTTGTAAAAATTATCAGAAAAATTTTCGAAGTTAACATCACTTTAAAGACAAAGCTTTCACATTCCGTATAATCGGAATATATTTTCCGGCACTTTGAAATCTCTAAATATTCACCCGTCATATGAAAATCTTTATATCTCTTTATCCGTTTTACGATGCAACTTATGTAAAGATATTTGTAGTCTTGTATATCCAAATCGTGAATAATATATGTGACCAAAATAATTAATCGGTAAATCTATAGATTAATCTGTACGTGACAATGTAAATGAATATCAATTGAAGAGTCTGAAATATATCTCTCTCTCTATAAAAATTTAAATGCTAATAAATTATGCTACTAAATTATCTATATTCATATCGACGAATGATTTTATGACAAGTAAAAATGCAAAAATTTTTAATATATATTAATAATTCTTATATCTTTTATTACAATATTTATCATAACTGCCTTACATAATTTAGTTTCGTCACAATTAAATTTTGTATACATTATTATAATTGTGGGTTTTTCTAAATTGGATTTTATACGTCATCAAATAATATTATTTTCTATATATATACGTGAAAATAATTTCTAAATGATGACTGAAATTGTTTTATATTTTATTCGTGACTCACACAGCTTGTCTGCAACAAAATAGTCGATGCATAGAATTTTTCAATCTTACAATCTTCAATTTTCCCTCTATCTATATCTATATATCAATAATTGGGCTGATTGAGCCCGTATCAGAAGTACTACGTATTGAAGATATTGAATTGAAAATTAGAATTTTTGATCAATCAGATTAATTTAATTTTGTAATTCGTTTCGTTCTGATTTGAACTCTAATCTTCAATTCGTAGTCTGATACAGACTTTGTATTTCTTCAAGCTCGCTTTCATTGTACGATTTTCCGTACGATGTTGTTAATATCAGTCATAATTAAATCGAGATTATCAAAAATCGAGGAAAAAGTGAGGAATTATGGACTGACCTTGTATTTTTTGTGTACGAGTTGAAAGTTGATTCTTAAATGTAGAAACATTTGTTGTGAATTAAGAAAAATTGTGCATTTAAGGAATAAATGCAAATGTCGATTATATGGAAATCGTGCGGTGCAAAGGGGGCTTTTACAATATGACTGTAACGAGGATTACATTGTGACTCGTGATTATCACCGGGCGATTGACTCGCTTCGGGCGGCGCAGCTGATATTTTTTATGCAACCGGGAACTTTCTTAGACCAATTACCGTATAACGTATAAGATGAACATAATATAAGATTTAGCGTACCGCTAAAAAAAACCGTATATGTAGCGACGGAGTAAAGCTACTCGATATGCAATGTCTCTGAATTGAAAAATAATAGCAAGTGTGCTCGCCTTTTCGATGAAACTAGGAGAGTGCCAAATAGATTTTGAAAGTTTATACGTGAGTGTGCGTGTATGCGCGAATGCAATTGCTTGAGGGCATATGTGTACGCATACGTGAGTGTGTGTGTGTATGTTTTCTGTCACATTTTTATAGTGTACTGGCTGTAACTTTGAGAGCAGTGCTCTCATTCGCTGAATTGATCGTTATTCAGCTATACTTCTCGATCCATTTATGATATATTTAATCAATTTCTTGCGTTTATTTTTGTAATAAATATTTTATTAATTAGGTTTTGTGATTGTGAAATTTCTTGATTGGAATTATGCCGTACATATTTTTTTAAAATAATAAATATAATGATTATTGTAAACCTATAATGCTAGATGAAACTTGTATATAGTAAAGCTTAAAGATCATTTCAGCGAAAGTGGCCATTTATATATCGCCTAAAAAGATAAAAATATATAAATAATGAACGTATACAAATGACAGATATGAGAGATCTACCGAATGTGTTTTAAAGAGAGTGTATATGGTAGATTTACATAATTGTATCAGTATATTGTAACAAAGTATCTGGTTGTTAACGATTCTTCAACTTCTTGCAAATTGTTTGCATGCATTACATAAAAGTGTTTTAAATATCGCCTAAAAGTTACGTCGATTTTTATACAACCGGTCGATTTAGTATCTTTATTTTACAACATAAATTAAATACGTATAGATGCCTAATTAACGGATACCGTTACCAACGGATCGTAATTACCATTCTTTGACGTAAAATTTCAATTTAAATCACAAAACGATATATTATGCATTAATTAATTTCAAATTAGTGAAATAAAACAAACACGTTTCCAATAATACGTTAATTCGATAAAATAAAACGACCACAGCGAGAGGTTGAAGAGTCGTTTACGATTAAATATGTACGGATAAGTGTACAATAATGTTAATCGCGAGAAATCCGTTGGATTTCCGTTGTGAGGAAACTCGACTTTTCTCTCGATCTTGTCGTCGCTCCTAATTAAGTGTATTTGCAAATTCACAGATGATATTCTCGACCAATCTATTTGTCTATAATCATCGCATTACCATTATCTATGTAATTATGCCCGCTCTTTCGCGCAAAACGCATGTTTACATGAAAAAAAAGTTATAACGTTTTAAAATCTGCTCTCTTCTACACGTCGAACGCATACGTATACACACTTACCTATATATCCGCTTTCTATTAACGCTAAGTGCTTCGGTTGCATATCGATAAGTCCTATATAGATGTAACGTTTTTACGAAGAAATATATTTTGGCAAACTTTTCGTGGATGGAAACAACCCTGAGGGGAGATCGGCACCGCTTAGTTCTTTGCGACGAAATATAGGGCTTTATGCATGGTGTCTCGCTCAGACTAAAGGGACCTTACGAAGTATAAAATTGTCGACAGAAATACATGTATTTTGTGAAGAATTGAATTACTGAATATCAAATTTAAGTTACATCAGAAACGATCGAATCAGTACAGAACGATATAGAACGATCGATGTACAACAATCGAAATCTAATCTTTTACCTTAATTATTTTCTTTTATTAAACTCACTTTTTGAAGCCGGTTTTAGTAAATTTCTATACTTTTCATTTCGGAAATGGCTTTTAGCAGGATCGCAGATGAGAACAAAACAATTCGAAGAAACTGTTTATTGGTGGCGGGACATTCTGCATAAAAAATTTACAAATTTAACAGTCACACTGCGTAAATGCACTCATCATTCGTTTCAGTCAGCAAAGTGAAGCGATCCCGTTTACTTAGAGTCTCGGTGTATAGTACCCAGTATATAGAAGTACCGTTAGTTCAGCTAGCTTTTGCGTACTTTGTAAAATGCGCGTTGTAATAAATATCGCCGGCATCGTAAGCGCGCAATTCAACGAAGCACGTCGGCGGAATAACGCGAGAGCTGTTCGAAGTTTCGCGAGCCTTGACTTGATTAAAGCAAGAAAGATATTCCTTCTTCACGTACAGAAGATAACTGAAAATTGAAAAAGTTAGTTTTACGACTGCATTTATCCTTCTTGAAATTGATATAATTGATTAAATTAATTAAATTATATTAAATAAATTAATTGAGTATTAATTGGTAGAAATTGGTGTGCAATAATAATTTTTGCCGTAACTCTTATCTACAATTACAATCACACAATTATAGGTGAAATTAATTTTACAAATTATAATTATAATTAATATCGCGTACCAGTCAATCACACATGTATATATAATTGTACATGTATATTGTTTTAATATTTGTATAAACAGATTGTGTGAAATAATATTATATAACATATAAATAACCTGGTACGTTGCATTAAAATCACATCTAAAAAAATTAACTGTTTTCTAAGATTTAAGTAAAAAAACTTTTCGCAAATAATTATGAACGGTGCTTTGAGTCGAGTCGAGATGCGATTCCGCGTGATTTATTACACGCGCACCTTTCCGAATCGACTGGATCTTTAATGAATTATAGAGTAATCGTTGTTACGCACACGCTTTTCCTACTTCGATTGTTGATATCTTTAATTGGTAGTAGCATATAGTCATGTGCAAGAGAACTAACACTGTTGTGAATACGTTTCGTTACGATGGAATCGCGAGGACGGGCATCCAATATTTCATTTCTGCAATGGATTACGTATCTCCTTGGATCTTACGCGAACAGGAGGAGCTGTAGAGAAGATCTGATTTCTCCAAGTTTTTAAGAAAACTCTCTAAATGTATTATTTTCGTCTTCCATTTATTCTTTAAAGCAAATTCGTCATACATCCATATATTTCGGAGCTTTTACTCTCCGTAACAAATTGCCCAGATTTTCTCTTTTTTTCCCCTCTCGAGTGTCGAAGTCTTAATCAATTTTGGAAACTAAACTCTTTCAAGAATGTATAGAGTTTGAATCTCTGTTTATTGACAATGCTCTCCTCGCGATTGGACGACAGTAACGACAGCTTGTATCCGAACGAGTGTTTAATAGTAAACAATTAGACTTTAGAAGCCATGCTAGATTAGATAGCGAGACTAAAGGGCGCTAGATAGTCATAGAACGTTACGCTAATAGCGATTTCACCGACCCACCCTCCTATTTATCACAGCTGTGAGTTTTTCCGACGGAGGGGTATAGTGAGTAGCGATATTGTATGTTATATAGACTAGTTACATCAACTATATTAGATCCTAGTCAACCGATCAGTTTGACGGAAGTGTATGCCGCAATAATAATAATGCTCTGATTTCGTTCGATGTGTCTTTGTTATCGCGAAAGAGGCATTACTTGTTTATTGGCTGTTAAGCTTTGTTAATAAAATATTACAAAATTTTACATTGAACACCAACGTCTCTGATTACAATTTTCTCCGTCCATTCTCTTAAAAAATAGGAATTTATTTGAATTTTTAAATTTTTTAACTTTTTTTAGATTTATTTGAAAAATTTGTTTTATAAACTATAGTTTCCTTTTGCCAATCAATTTTCATCAATTAGCATTTAAGCATTACTAGATACTGCAATTTGCTGTATTTTATTTTATTTAGAAGCAGAGATTTATATATTTAATAATAAAATATTGCGTTTTTTATAAATCAGAATTGTATTACTAATTGAAGATTTTAATTTTTTAATTTATAACAGCGATGAGTAAAAATTAATTTCATTTTTTATTATTTTCAATTATTGTCTTACAGAACTCATTGTTTATCTTTTAATTTTTTAACTAAAAACTCGGAAAATTATTAAAAGTGATATTAGATTTGTTCTGTCAATCTTTAAACTAATGTTTTTTAAATAATTATTGAGACAATTACCATGATAAGCTAATGCCGTGCCAGTCGCGCCGGTAAAGTCGCGATCTTCCACCAGTTGGCAGCACCATCGAGAGTCTCGAGTTTGTAACAAGTAAGATGGCCTCCACCGACTCCAGTTTATCAAGTGAAAATCCCGCCAAGAAGGAGGATGAATTTAACGAATTTTACTCAGAGGTACGCGATTTCCTGTTAATTTCAGCATTATTTTATATACGGTTTCGCCGGCGAAACAGTACTTAACCCTTTAATCTTAAACAGACACGTAAACAAACTCGAAGCAGTAACTTCGACTAGTATCACTTTTCGCTGGAAATAAAATGACAGCAGACGTCTCGTAATGTCTATTTGTGTTTTAACTACCCCACAATATCATATGTAGCCATGTCGAGTCTTGCGAGCAATGTTATCACTATAAACATTATACTTGCCTAACCTGCATCGACATGTTTGTGTTGAGGTTTGTCATGATCTCTTTACATGAAATGTGTGTGGTGTTCAATTTCTTACATATAATACTTTGAAGAATTATTATTATCAGAGAATTAATGTTAAAATTAAACATAGATTCTATATAACGAAGCTCAACTCTTCTAAGAGGTTGTAATTATTCACAATTGCATTTTTCATATTATCTCCGTATAAGGAAGATAAACATGACACTCCTGATAACAGCTTTATTTAATAACTTCCGTTTGCAAGAACTGCTTGCATCGGTTATAACTGCATTTTTCTTGCATTCTTCTACTACGACACTGATATTTATTCATATAGCATATACTTTATATTGGAGATTTTAAGAATATTTTTTTTTATTACAATTTAAGGAAGATAGACAGAATATATAATAAACTAAGCTTCATATTTGCTGTATTGCTTTAAAATTGTTCAGAAATTTAATTTTAGATTTAATTGTATTTAATTTTATTATACGTTGTTACATCTATGTTATTTATCTATTTATTATATTTTAATTAATTAACATTTGCAGTTATAAAGTTAATTATAAAATAATTTTATTGTTTTTCTATAGGTTAAAGAAATTGAAAAAAGAGATTCTGTGCTGACCCCCAAACAACAGATTGATAGACTACTACGACCTGGGTCATCCTACTTCAACTTGAATCCATTTGAAGTTTTACAAATTGATCCAAGCACAGCAATAGAGGAAATAAAAAAGAAATATCGTCGTGTGAGTACCTATTTTTTCCTATAATAAGTCTCTTGACTTAATTTTGATCTAATTTCAAAATTGTAGATGTCAATTTTGGTACATCCAGACAAAAATCAAGATGACGCTGAAAGAGCGCAGCAAGCTTTCGAAAGTAAGTATAACAGACTGATCAGTTTAAGAAAATATATGTGTTATAAAATGATAAATGTATTAAAATAATTTTATTAATTACAGTTGTTAACAAAGCGTGGAAAACTTTGGAAAATGAAGAAACTAGATCAAAATGCATGGACGTTATTGAGGAGGCAAAGGCCCGAACTGATCACATGGCAAGTATTTCATTATTTACAGAAGCTTTGTTTTTTGTTTTTAACAAAGCATATTGTGCATTATCGTTAATTTTTCTATATTATATAACATAATAATACATAATATAATGTAATATATAATAATATTTTGAAATTTAGATTGCAGAAAAGAAGAAGAAGCAAAAGAAAGAAGGAAAATCCGAGAACTCGAGTTCGACGCTTTTGGAGGAAGAAACTGAGGAAGGCTATACACATGCGGTCTGGGTTATGACAATGAAGTTGTTCGCCGATATGGAGCGAAGAAGGTCAGTTCACAATTTTAGAAAAAAATATATTACTAAATAGAAAAAACATATTAACGTAAATTGTATTTAAAAAAATTAGTAAATTAAACGCCTACATCTTTGAGTAAAAAACATTTATCTGAAAATGGCTGTTTCTTTTTCTTTTTTTACAGACGGGAACTAGCCACAAGAGATGCAGAACAGCGAAAGAGAAAACGCGAAGAGGAGTTGTCTGCAGAAGCCCAGGCAGCAATGGAGCGCGAATGGCAACGAAACTTCGAGGAGTCCAGGCAATCGCGCGTCGACAGCTGGAAGGCGTTTCAATCCGGTACTAGTGCCACAAAGCAGAAGAAGGCGAAGAAGCTGAAGGCCTTCAGGCCGCCGAAAACGAAGGCGGAGTCGCGATAATCATGATCGTCCCTCGTTTATTCTCTACTTCCGATGTGCGGATTCTGATTTTAGTCGACGCAATGTTTTATCTTAGAGATTTTCTCGCAGCGTTAAGGTAGGTTAAGAGATCTAATGCCGCGTGATCGTTGATCCAACGATAAACGTGCCGGATCACTTTATCTTGAAATTGAAAGAGAGAAGGATATTAAGATAAGATTCTGAATTCTCTTTTTGATTCCAAACCATCTAGTTACAAAGTACGATTTTTTGTTTTGTTTTGACATTCATTGTTACATTTAAACGCCGAGATTTGGATTTCTGTGAAATATTCTCACATCAGTAGCCAGTTTCATCAACATTCTGTCAAAACGATGATGGCTACTAAGTCTTTCACGAGCTTTTGAGGGCATCTTTTTATTTCATCGAAATAAAAAGATTATTGAATCACGTCTATTTATCATCAACTCCAACTTGACATTGCTCACTAATATATTCAGAGTTCTATATATTAAAACGAAACTTCGGCGGAGCTTGGTGAAATCGATAGCAAGTCCATTTTCTTGCTTAGATAATCGATAGAATGATTTAAAACTAGAATAAAGATACTGAAGTAACATATTGACGTTATTGTGAGCAAAATCTTGAGAACAAATTTACGCGTTACTACAAAGGGAAAAAATATACGGAAAAATGCAGAGCAATAGCAAAGTTATGGAATGAATGAAGAATAACGAATGCAACTTCATGTATGTAGTTGAATGTAGTTTCGTGTGCGTGTTATGCGAAATCGTACCGTTTATTTTGAAAATGGCGTAAATCATACGTTAAAAAAACCTTTATTCAAACAGATAAAGATTGTAATATAATTTAAATTAAATTTAAATATTCTATTCCCAAGTAAACTGAATTAAACTAAACTGGTTTAGATTTATTTTTGTTTTATTTAAATTATATGCTTATATCATTTTTTTTTTTCAAAATGAACGAATCGATTGTGAGAGTCTCTTGTGTGTAAATTCTGCGCAAATCCTCGCAGAGTTTGACAGTTAGAAAGTTTTTCACGAATTTCGTGATTATGAGACATTGACGACTTGTATAGAAAACAAAAGGAAGAAGAAAAAAGATACATTTCTCCGGAGCATTGTATATTCGCAGTATCTCGATGGCATTGCACAATTGTCAATTTTATCTACATGTGTCTCGTACCTTTACTATTAAATGTACGATTGTCCATCATAGGGAAAGTATACAGTTGGGTATATATTTATTGTATTATGACGCGAATTCATACACGCAGTACCAGGGTTACTGTACCGTGATACCCTGTGTTTCTGTAAACGCCAAGTTCGCGCAGATTAACTTTATTTTAGAAATATGGAAATTTATAATAGAGACCATACAGAGACCTTAACACTCACCGAAGTTTGATATATATGGAGAATATCAAATTTCGGAGCTGAATCTGTGATTTAACGGTCTCGAAATCTTTGGTACTCCAACAATAAAAGATTCCTAAAAAATATCGCGAGATCATAAAACGAAATTTTCGTGCCATAAAAGATCGATTCGCTTCGCATTATTGCGACGGCTTCGATTCTGCACTGAATGAGATTCTCTGAGACTTTTCAGGACGTCAATTGAATCTAAACTCCGCTATTCATGGCACGATATCGTGATGGCTCTTTTATAACTTCGCGAACACCCCCGGTATTGCCCGAATGACGTACAGACGATCTCGCAAAGAACCGAGGACAAAAATGGTTCGTTCGATTTGTTGTGAGATGTGACTATATACGTATATGAAATTATTTCTAAAAGACTGTTCATACTGCACGACGTGCCGCAATTTCGGATATAATTGTCTAATACTGTGTATATATCGCTACTCAAATACATTAAAGAATTAAAGAACTTTCATTTCTGAATCGGATGCAAGATGTCCATTTAAATAGTGCATTCTGTGAGGAAAAATGCATACAATCGTTCTTGTTTCTCGCATGGAAATCCTTACAGGAAATACATATATATACACAGGGTATTCTAAATATATATAGGATATTCCTCGTATTTTCTTTCACCTAAAAATTCCTCGAACCAATTTGGAGTTGATGTTTCAGAAGATGTTTGCAAAATAATTTTACGAGAATAAATCAAATCAAATTCGTATTAGTTAAGAAATTCGTAAATTAAAAAAATATATATATATATACATATATATATATGTATATATATAGTGATATTCCAAAAGCTCTCTTTTTCTAATCACGTATTTTTCTCAGATTTGTATATGTACCGTGTGATTAATTCATTATTGCTAGCTGATAATGGCAGACGCTTCTGCTCTTTATACATATCGCGAGTGCAATATAATGTCGATTATTTTTTATTACACATATACACATACCAGAAAACTAATATTATATGTCTTTCACGTAATAGATAATTAATTAAAAGAAATTAAAAGAAATTAATTTTATATAAAGTTAAAATGGACTTTTTCTCTCGAGATGCGCGAAGGATGTCTCTTAAGGTATTCGCGTCACTCGCGCCGTGACGTCGATAGGATGTAAGATGTAAATGGAATGTGCCGCGGACACAATTGCCACCCCCCAGGAAGCAGCGCCGGTATCAACATTCCGAACCAGTGTGACGCCGTACGTGATGCCCGGCACCACGTACAATCGTGGATACCGCTAAGAGTCTCGTTTTCGACGAAAAATCGAAGTTCGGATAATCTTATCTGTTAGAACATTTCCCATAATGCGATATGATCTCGGAAGAAGAACACATTGATGAATTGCTCAAAGTTCTTCAGAGGGTGGAGAATGCTCGGGGCTGGGAGCTGTGGAGAATCATGTAAGTATTATATTTCGAGAACGAAACTTAAAAGTTTGCAAAGAAACGAAAGGACGATCAAGAAAGAGGAAAACTAAATTCACGATTCTTCAGTATTCCGTATTTTTCTTGCATTTTTCTCGTTTTGTGTGAAAGAATTTTGAGAATATAGATATATGGAAATTGCTAAATTTTAAATCGAAGGATTTAAATGATATATATAAAGCAAACATCAGGCGCTTCAATAGCTAAATTTAGAATCATTTTAGAATCTTTTATGCAATTTTGAACAACTCAAATGATGTAAAATTTAATCACGCATACATTTCTTTATATATTGAGTGAAAGCTATCGAAGTCATTCGTTTACAATTGAAAGTCGATTCGACCTTTGTCGTTGTCTCAGCTTTATGGTTCGCAAATATGTAGTATTTTGATGACGAACTACGCTTTAGTAGCTTGTTATGATAGCGTAGTAAGGACGCAGACGTGTGTTTTGTAGTCGTAACTGTTATATCCTGTCATTGAAGAAAATTATTGATGCTCTCATCGTTATTATTACCATAGTAATTTCTGTCAGTTTTTCTTCTTTTCTAATACTTAAACTTAAAAATTTATCTTCTTCATACTAGCTCGATATAAAGCATTTTTGAGGAAAAAGTAATTATAAAAGTTCCAATACGTAAATTATATATGTAAATTTATTATTTTTGAATTTATTATCCAATTTGATAGTAAATTTCGTGATTAATTCAATGAAAGCAAGTAGATTAAAGTTTAAACTTATTACCATTAAAATGACTGTTAACAAAAAAATGTAATTTAAAATCGAGATTGATACACTTATCTGCGAATACATTTTACGAGACTGATTTAGCATTCACAGACGATGTGTGAGTGGAATTTGAAAAGCAGTGAACTCATATTTACGCACATATAGCGTGATAATAATCTGATATTTTCAGTCACAAAAAGTTAATTGATTGAAGCTTATTTATAAGCGACGTCTCTATAATATGCATTTATATTCCTTTGCTCTTTACTTTCCATAGCCTTTTCATTGTTACAGTCGACTATTTCACAGAATCTTATATATGTACAGACACATGATCAATATCTAAAAAAAAAGTTTGCATGCGTCTTATTGTCGGTCGTACTTAGGCAAATTTATTGCGATAGAGCTGTTAGCGTGCATCAAAGCGTATTAATGCACCCAAGCTATATACTGCATCTCACGCGATGCGTTCTTGCGACAAGTACATGCAATTGCAGGTCGAGCGCAACAGGTAGCAAAGCCTTCTGCATCCTTTCGAATTTTCGTTACAGCTCTTCTAAGTATGCAAGATACATTTCCATGCAAGATTCACTAGAAAGAGAAAGAGAGAGCAAGCGAGAGAGAGAGAGAGAGAGAGAGAGAGAGAGAAAGAAAGAGAAAGATTGCAGAATCAGATACAATAGTTCACTGAGTGATGGAAAGGAAGGGAATAGAAGAGATTGAAAGTATTAAACGATCGATTTGCTATCACATGTCCGCAGGTACAGAGCGTACAATAAAGGTTGTGCATGAAAGTAATTTAAAACATAATTTAGATAATACATTTAAATATTAATTGACAGACAAGTAATTATAATATGAATAACATATAATATATATACAATAATATAATGTAATAGTATATATAACTTAATCATTGGGACGTCATTGATTTATCATCATGATTTATATGACATTTCTGTTTATACATATTTGCTATATTTGATTTGCCTCACATCACAGTAAATACAAGAAGTATATCTTCGTGATATCGAAGATATAATCTTGCAAATCTTAATAAATCGTCAATAAGTATATTATAGGTTGGTCAGAAAGTCTTTTCGTATTTAGGAATTTAAATTCATATTTATGAAACGACTTTCTAACCTGATAATAGAATAAGATTGTTGTCGCCAAAGAGTGATCGGATTTTCTGATATTTGTCTACATTGGACACGCGGTTGAATAAGGAATAAGGAATGTTAACTTGGAAAATTACGTATGATAGAGAATCAATATTTCTTGCGAATAAATCACACGGAGGATTGCGGCAACAACATTGATTGCAAGCACAATAGAAACTCGCGATCGGATTACTTCTTGCGACGTGTGTGTTGCTCGCGTTTTCTTTACAGTTCTCCAACAAAATTATTCCGCTTCCAGGCCATTCAAGATTTAAAAAAAAAACGAATAATTGAGGACTTATTGACGTCATATTTATTGCCATCGATAGGATTATTTGTAGATATATCAGATTGATATATCGGAGAATCAACTTCAGTTATTTTTACATGAAATCAAAATATACATATGTATTTAGAAAATTACATTTTACAAGAAATTGACAGCGACAACATAACAAAACATAATAAATCTTGATAAAATAAATTTTCAATTATTAACGATAAAAAAAATTTAAGAAAAAGATTTGGAAAAATTTAAGATATTTCTTAATCGTTAACAAAAAATATATTGAAGAGAAAATTTGTAAAATACTTATATTATTATCATCAGTTATCAATATATTATCAGACTTTAGTCAGTTACAATAATGTTTTTAATAAAAGTCATTTATACACAAATGATAAAATACACGCAGACAAAATTAGAGATCTCAAAATTGAAAATTGAACGAATTTATCGTGTTATTCTTTTTCTCATTTCTCAAAGTTATTTTAATTAAATATCACGCGTCTCTTATTTTAAATCTCTTGGATTTCTCGGGACATCCAATCCCGTCATACATCACTGATCCCTCACACTATGCAGTATGCTCGCACACATATACATACTCGTGTACGCACGATATCTTCCTAATACCAATGCGCGTCTTATGAAGCAGGTAAAACGACGGCACACAAACGCACAAACGCACACATGAAGCCAAGAATTCCTCGGCTGGTTTTAGCAGGAGGAAGAGAATATCGGCGTATCGGTATGCACATATAAAGTTACGCACACAATCAAGAGTTATCGCTGAAGGAGTAGAAGTAAAAGAACACGCGGCGCCGCACACAGATAAATCGTTTACGTCTACCTAGGTATGCGTGCGGAGTAGCGCTTATACACGCGTATATACACGCAAAGGCGTATATACACGAAGGCAAAAAAACACGCCACACCAGTTTACGCGCAACACACGCAAATCAAGAGTCACACTTCTGTATGCCTGCCGTCGTGCGCAGGTAGAAGGAAAAGAATATCTTCAAAGTATCTCGCAGACAGATAGAACGCAAAGAACGTGCCACGCCAGTTTACACACAGCACGCACGCGTGTGCGCGCATACACACACACACTCCAATCAAGAATATCGTACACCTGTCTGCGTGTGCAGAGGGAAAAGAACACGGCATTCGCACACAGACAAGGGAAGAAAAACGCCGCGTGCGTGCATGTGCACAGGTAAGACCGACGAGCGGCGCGGCACGACACCCGTCTGGAGCAGGGGCCTCTCAGTGAGGTAGTGTTCACCGCCGTGTGTGCAGCTCCTCGTGGCTTCGTCTCCGCCTCCGCCTCTTCTTCCTCCTCCTGCAGCACCAGGGGGACCAGGTAGACTCACGAGGACGTGTATCGGGGCCCGTGGCCGCAGAACGGGCCCCCGGATCGCTCTTTCGCTCTCCCATATCGGTAGCCTTGAACGGGCGCCAGCCAGCCTGGATACCCGAGCGTTTAACCCGGCCTGGTCTGGCGAACACACGTGCGTTAACCGCAGAGTGTAGTGAGGAGAATTCGGATTCGCGAGGCCGTCAAAAAGAGAATTTCTTCCGATTGCGGAGGAGCGTTCCTCGATCGAGGTGAATTCCTGCGGGGATGTACGAAGAGCAGGAGCGGCAGGATGTGTGATCGGTGATTATCGGTGTGTGCCACGGCAACGTGAATGCTGACGATGTCGACAACGGACGTGGTCCGCATTGTTCAGCAAGGAGCCGCTGCCGACGAGGACCAGGGGTAATTTCTTTCACTCGCCACTTATTTCGGAACGTAAGCCTCACGCGGTGAAGGGCCTTTTCTCGTGCCGGGAATCGGTGAAATATGGTGCGTTTCGCTGTGAAGGTTGTTGAACGGAGATTCAGCGCCGATTGTGTCCATCATCATTCTTCAGTATCCGTTCGTTCCAAAATAGAAGAAAGTTTGCAAGCAAAATGTTACGATTAGTTAAAATTACTCCAATTTTTACGATGCGATATTTATCGATTTAAATATCCAATTTAAATATCCAATCATAAAGTGTTACTCAAAAATTTTGAAATTATTCTAAATCTATATATCCTTTCAGATTTTAATCTGAGATTTGAAAGACATAGAAAAATATTAAAAGAATTTAATTTTTAAATACATATAATACTAATAGCTATTAACTAATTTGAGAGATCAATTTTTGATATTATTTTATTATAATCAAATTATGAAAAACTATAATTCCTCATTCACTTTTCAATGAGAAAAAAAGAAAAAAGAATTGTGAATAATATTATAATAAAAATTAATGTTAATCTAATTCTTATTAATTAATATTAATCTCTTTGCATTTTTATTCAATGAGAAAAATATTATCTTAAAATTAAAAAAAATTATTTTTAATTACTTTCTGTATATATTATATATATATTGTATATATACAAAAATTATATATTAAATATAATAGATTTTTGTATATAAAATATAATATATATTCTCTCTCTCTCTTTCTCTCCATTTACTATAAATAATGAAAACTTTTTCAGAAAAATTTAAAAGATGTCTCTAAATTGTCAAAGAAAATGTATCTTTTGAGATATTTTGCAATATAGTTTGAGTATTACGCAAATTGGCTAAAGTTTGACGCTTGAATGTGTTGTAAGTGCGAGTCGCGTCGAATTCGGACGTGCTGATAATGAGTTTCATGGCAAATGGAGGATGAGTCGTTAGGAGTGGCAGGAATTTTTTGACTCGTGAATAGGATCATTATGAGAAGAAAATGTTTTTTTTAAAGACGAGGAAAAATGTT